CGAGAGCTCCACTTAGTGTGGGCCCACCCCAATAGCCTCCCTTTACAGAGGCATTTTGAAAGCCAGCTGCCCATGTGGCCCACCCGAAAACAGACATCCCTCCCCACCATCTCTCGCCAGCAGGGGCTGGCCGTGCAGCTCAGCTGAGCAGGACGTTGTGAGTAGTCTTCCTTACCCTTCCTCATTACATTATTTGGTGACTTTCTTTTCAGTCTATGGACGAAATTGATGCTATCTAATAACCATGTGGTTTCTGCAGCCCTTGGCCCTCTCTGCTGGCCAGCTCCAGCTTGAGCCTTGGTCACCCATGTTGGTCACATGCTGCCAACAAGGGTCAGGACATGAAAATAACGGAAAAGGTAGCCCGAGAGTCCCATCATGACACTGACACATCATGGGTCAGACTTGAGATGTATTAAGTCAGCTGACATGGCTAGAATGGCTTCCAGACCAGCCAGGCGAGTCTGCAAGCTGGTCAAATGTGCACTACTGTGGAAGGAAAACCTCTGTCGGAGCGGGCCTTGGCAGCAGACACAGGCAGTGTCCTCTGGGCTGTCCAGGACAGAGCTGCTCCTGGCTTGGAAGCGTTCCAGGCTCATTGGCAAGGTTGGCCGATGAGGTGGATATTTGCGTCATCTTAGCCTGGTGTCCTTAACCACTGTATTCATCTCAGTGCCTCCCCCTCGTTCCTATCACGCTTACAAAAACGCTGTTGACTATGAATTGGCCTTCTACACAGGTGTGCTTCCGGGGGGGCCTGTACGAGCGTGCTGCCCCAGTGTGCCGCCCACCTGGCCTTCTCCACTAAGCACACTTGGCCTTGCTGGTGGACATGTCATTGTGTGCCTGGAAACCATGTACCTCCCGGGGCCACAATTGGGTCAAGTGACACCAAAATGTAAAATCAGGTTTTAGGAAACTTAATACCTCGTTTGCAATAACTGATTCAAATGGGGAGGTATCACATGGTATCTTGCCTTGTTAATAACTCCTACCAGCAAGCCACATCTTGAATGACAGTTGATTTAAGGGCCAAGTTTTGTGCTCGTTGCCAAAATTGCTGGTCAGTACCTGCTCATATGGCCTTTACTTGTCATCAGCAGCTAAAACTGACTGGCCTCCTGAACTGCCGCCTTAATGGGGAGGCTAGAAGCCCTCACAGCTCAGTTGGGATTTTTTTCTTCCCATTCTCGCTCTGCACTGTAGTCAGCCCAAGGTCACCTGGCTGGTATGAGGAATGGCTGTGTGTGTGAGGGGAGGATCCCCACGCAATCGTGGGGTCTAGTGAGAGGAGACTCCATGCATTGTTTCGGCTTAGAAACTTTTTACACAAACCGAAGCTCACTTGGAAAGGCAGCATGTAAAACATAAAAGCAGAGTTGCTCTAGAGGAAACAGAGGTGGGGAGCCCCAATCCTACTCCTCCAGAGAGAAGCTACTCTGAACAATTTGAAAACCACTGGATTCAGGTGTGGGGTCAACTTTTAGAACAGGAAATTGGGAAGGGAAATAAAGCCACTTACCCAAGCTGGGCCACAGGATAGAGGACACCAAAGTCAGATAATAATGTCGGAACCTGAGGCTGGCAGCAACGGGGCTAGATGTACATAGAAGATGCACATTATCAAAATCATCAGGCTATAGGGAAGACACTTTGTAATATGGTAATGACCATTCTACACAAAGTTGAAAGTAGTAAAACTTATGAAAATACAGTAGTCCCCCCTTATCTGTGGGGGATACATTCCAAGATCCCCAGTTGTTACTGAAACCTCGGATAGTACCGAACCCTATGTATACCATGTTTTTTTCTATACATACATACCTATGATAAAGTTTGATTTATAAATTAACCACAGTAAGAGATTAACAACAATAACTAATAACAAAATAGAACAATTATAACAGTATACTATAATGAAAGTTGCCATAGATCTTAGCAACCTCAGCATACGATTTTTTTCTTTCCTGATTGAGAACTTTTGCCCTTTCACTTAAGCACTTTATGGCTTCTCCTTGGCATATCTGAATTGCCAGTTTGATCACTACTCTCGAGCTTTGGGGCCATTATTAGGTAAAATAAGGGTTACTTGAACACAAGCACTGTGATACCATGACAGTCGATCTGATAACCTAAAGAGCTGCTAAGTGACTAATGGGTGCATATGCTGAACAAAAGGATGATTCACATCCTGGGTGGGACGGACAGGGATTTCATCACCCTACTCAGAATGGCGTGCAATTTAAAACTTATGAATTGTTTATTTCTGGAATTTTCCATTTAATATTTTTGGACCTCATTTGACCACAGGTAACTGAAACCATGGAAAGCAAAACCACAGAAAAGGGGGCACTATTGTACTTAAAAAAAATATGTTTAGCACCTTTCCCTATCAGAACTCTATTGAGCATAATATAGCAACATTATTAACTTTAGGCCAATTCTTTTGGAAATTTTTGGAGTGTGACCTGTGACTTTCACACTTAGAGATGGTAAATTACTTTCTCATTTAAGAACAATGTTTCAATATGAAAAAATGTTTTTTCATATACTTAGAAGAATAAAATATTAAGCCACACTGTTAACACACTTGTTATGTCATCATAAATCACTCTTGGCTCTTTTTCTGCTGTGTTGGAAAAACACCAAGATCAAGTTATCCAATTCAAGATGCCATTCCTTCTGTTTTCAAAGTAGGGTAGTTTCTTGCAAACTTCATTCAAAGACTTGTATCTCTTAGACACAATTTTCATTTAATACTCCATCAAATATGAGCATTTCATGTCATATCATTTTTGCATTGATTCAACATTATTCAATAATAATTGTGTATATTCTTCATTATTGGATAATAATCAGCAGCATTGTGGAAAAAATTATGGGCTCCGTTTTGGGTTTGAATCATCCTGCCTCTGCCACCTGCCAGTTGGGTTATCCAGGGCAAATTAATATCTTGCGTTAGCCTAACAATTTGTTCCTTCATCTATAAATTGCGAGGCTGTTGAGAGTTCAATGAGACCCTACAAAGACGTTTGTACCCAGCATATAGGGAGTGATATGCGCCCCCCCGCCCAAAGGCTTATTTGCTTTCCTTCCTTTGCATAAACATTTACAACACCTTAAGTTCCCATGTATTCATGCAATAATATCAATGTACCACTTATTTTACTAAAAGAGTAGATGCGAGCCGCCTTTTAAATAGTCAGTTTTGGGGTGGAATAGTGAATACGAAGGGTATTGCCCAGAAAGGTTGAGTTTCTTGCAGTGTATGCAAATTAATCTAAGATTATTTTTGAATATGGGCTTAGTTTTAAAAATTACTTGCAAATGTTCACTTCCAGCCATGATGGAAGATAGGACTGGATTTACTCTCCCCCCTTAAACAACTAGAAAATCAGACAAAATATACGAAACAATAGTTTTTAGATATTGGAGAATGAACACGGAACATCAATCCCTGAGGGAAGGAAAACACGTGAGGTTAGCATTCTAGTTCCCAGTGTTCAGGCTACGGTACAAGAAGGTTCTGGAATCCTGTCATCTTGACAGTTTCACTGTGGTCACGTGGGAGAATATTCTTTTTTCAGGCAATATACACTTATGTATTTATTTAAAGGCAAAAAGGTAACTTACTTTCGAACAGCTCAGGAAGAAATGTCATATATGTATGTAGATATACATACAAACATATACACATTTATGAGACAAAATGATAAAACATGGAAAAAAGTTAACATTTAGGGAATCAGGGTGAAGGAATATGGGAATTCTTTGTACTAGTTTTGCAACTTTTCTGTTTGGAAACGTTTCAAAATTTAAACATTGTCAAAGCCTGGTGCTGACAACTTATTAATGTAGGAGTAGTCAGCCAACCATTTCTACTACTTAAAATGCTGCTCAACTAAACTCAAACATGATGCAAAAAACTGGGAATTACTTTAGACTTATTTTGTAACAGGTAGAATAAAAAGCACCTATGTGTGTATTACTCATGGCATTAAAAAATACATGAAGTCCTCTGCATTTTTAAACTTAAGATTGCATTTATAAAAGATTAAAAATGTATTCTAAAAACAAATTTATTGAAGCTTAGCATATTTACATTATATAATGTGTATATCTATGTTTGAAAATTATATAATAGTTGTTCACTGTATTGATACTGGAAAATACAGGTAAGCAAAGACAATCCCACCAAGCAGAGAGAAACACTGCTAATCAATTGTTTTTGTGTGTTGATATAATGTACTTCACATAACACTAACAACTGGTGATGTTACATTTCCATGCTTTTTTTATTTTTTATTTTTTGTGAGGAAGATCAGCCCTGTGCTAACATCTGCCAATCCTCCTCTTTTTTTTTGCTGAGGAAGACTGGCCCTGGGCTAACCTCCGTACCCATCTTCCTCCACTTTATATGGAATGCTGCCACAGCATGGCTTACCAAGCGGTGCGTCGGTGCGCACCCAGGATCCCAACCAGTGAACCCTGGGCCGCCGCAGCATACGGTGCACACTTAACTGCTTGCACCACCGGGCCGGCCTCTCCATGCTTTTTGAAAAGTGATTTTGGAGTGAACAAAATTGAATTGCAACTTATTTTAGAAGATGGTACTACATTGCCAATGCTATTACTTTGTAGGAAGTACCTTAATAACAAATAATACGCCCTGTACTGTGTGTATGGACTGGTACGGTTTTGAGAATGACAGATTTGAAGAACGATAATCCTTTTCAAAAAGCCGGTACTTTATAGGAACTATCTTCTCTAGACTTGCCAGCCCTGTAAAATATCATAAGCCTCTATGTTGTATCATCATCCCCATTTTACAGAGAAGGAAACAGAAGCACAGACAGTTAAATAACACACTTCAAGTCACACTATTAAGTGGTGAAACCTGGAGTTGGCTCAGACTCCTCCGTAGGAAAGTCAAACTTCGTGTCTGAGGCCAAATATTTTTAATGCTGTCAAATTGGAAAAAAATTACATACATTTTTACAAACATTCCCAGGTTCTGGGTATATTCTTCTTTACTAATATTTTATCAATATGAGAGATATGTTAAATAATTCAAGAGAAAGTATTAAAAAGATATACTTCAGTTAGGCCTGGATAAAATTCACGATGTCAAATGAGAAAAATAGGTAGAAATGCACAAAAGTAATGTGTAAATTCTGAGTATTTGGCATCACTTGACAGTTAAAAGCAATGATAGTATATAAATACCATGGGAATGTTCAAATAACAGCAAAAACTCAAAATTTGTTAGGCCTTTCATTAAAAAAAACTTAAAAGTAAAAAAAAAACCCAGACATCATCCTGATATTAAACTTGTGCCCATCTACGTGTCAATTTATCAATTATCTGAGCTGTGGCTACATGATTGAATTTCCTGAGTTGGACAAGTCAAAAAAATTGTAATCACTGAAGAGACCACCTCATTGTTGCTTCATGTGCAAGTCAGAGATTTGAAAAGTCATAAAAATTGGCAATGGAGGGAAAAGGATTAAGGTCTAATATTAGTATCTTCTGTGTCAGTATTCTTTAAAGACTTTTTTTCCTAAGACCTTCTCTTTATTTGACCCGTTCACTTCTGAATGGATAACATTTTGTTTTACATTCAAATGATCCTATGTATTGAGATTTGATTTTTCTTTTATTAGAAAACACGTAACTTATAATTGCTACTTTATAATTTTTTAAGTTACTTTCCATAAAATCCCTTCCCCAGAATCAAACATTAGCTTTGGATTTAGGTGAGTTTTTTTTTTTTTTGTGAGGAAAACCAGCTCTGAGCTAACATCCATTGCCAATCCTCCTCCTTTTTTTTTTTACCCCCCAAAGCCCCAGTAGTTGTATGTCATAGTTGCACATCCTTCTAGTTGCTGCACGTGGGACGCGGCCTCAGCACGGCCAGAGAAGCGGTGCGTCAGTGTGCGCCCGGGATCCGAACCTGGGCCGCCAGCAGTGGAGCGCACGCACTTAACCACTAAGCCATGGGGCCGGCCCAGGTGAGTCTTTACTATCCTAATTCTTCTTCACATTGTAATTGGTATCGATAGGTTACCTTTCCTAAAATCCACTGATGTATATAAAATCCTATGCTAATATTACAAAGCAATTGGTGTAAGAGATTCAAGTAAAATAAAAGCATGGCTGGTAGAAAAGAAAAACTGCACCATTCTTTTAATTATTTTTTAAATGTTTAAAAATTATAAATACAATACATGCTTAGTTAAAAAAATTTCAAATATACACAAGAATATAGTGAAAGGTAAAAGTCCCTTTACCCTACCTAACTTCTAGCCCCATTCTCTACAGCTGCACAGTCAAATATGGAAGCCACTAGCTACATGTAGCTATTTAAATTAAAAACAAGATTAAAAAAAAAAAGTTCCTCAGGCTAGTTATATTTTAATTACTCAGACACCACCTGGGGTTAGAGACTACCCCTCTGGACAGTGCACATATAGAACATGTCCATCGTCAGAGAGTCCATTGGACAGTCCATTGGTTACTGCTCTGCAGTAACTGTAATTAATCACTAGCATATAAATGTCTTATGAGTTCTGCATATATTCTGGATACTAGTCCCTTATTAGATATAATTTTCAAAAATTTTCTCCCATTCTGTGGGTTTTCTTTTCACTTTCTTGATGGTGTCCTTTAAAGCATGAAAGTTCATTTTGATGAAGTCCAATTTATTTTTTTCCCTTGTTTTTTATGCTTTTGGTGTTGTACCTAAGAAATCATTGCTTAGCCCAAGGTCACAAAGATTTACTTCGTTTTCTTCTAAGAGTTTTATTTTAGCTCTTATATTTAGGTGTATGACCTATCTTGAGTTAGAATTTGCATTGGTATAAGGTACAGGTCCTTTAGCATGTGGCTATCCAATTGTCCTAGGACTACCTGTTGAAAAGACTACTCTTTTTCACTGAATGGTATTGGCATCCTTGTCAAAAACCAACTGATCATAAATGTATGGCTTTATTTCCAGACTCTCAATTATATTTTATATTCCCTTGATTTATACATCTATCCTTATGCCAGTCTTGATTAGTGTAGCTTTGTAATAAGCTTTGAAATTGACTAAATGTGAGTCTTCCAACTTGGCTCTTTATCAAGCTTGTTTTGGCTGTGGGTCCCTTGCATCTATATGAATTTTATCATCAGCCTGTCAATTTCTGCAAAAAAGCCAGCTTGGATTTTGATGGGAATTGCACTGAATCTGTAGACCAATTTGGGGGGAGCACTGCCATCTTTAAAATGTTGTCTTCCAATCCACGAACAAAGATGTCTTTCCATTTATTTAGGTCTTCTTTAATTCCTTTCAACAATGTTTTATAATTTTATTTTGTTCATCTTGATGGTAAAGTTTTTTTTAAATCTCAATACCAGAATGTTCATTGCCAGTATAGAAATAAAACTGATTTTTGTATATTGATCTTGTATCTATTCTGCAACCTGTTGAACTCATTTATTAGTTTTTAAATGAATTCCTTAGAATTTTCTACATGACAAGATCATGTCATCTGTGAATACATAGTTTTACTTCTTCTTTTCCAATGTGGTTGCCTTTTATCTCTTTTTCTTGCCTCAGCTAGAACCTCAAGTACAACGTTGAGTAGAATTGGTGAAAGTGAACATTCTTCTTATTCCTGATCTTAGGAGGAAAGCATTCAGCAGTCTGTCGCCATTAAGTATGAGGTTAGGTGTGGGTTTTTTGTAGATGCCCTGTATCATGTTGAGGAAGTTCCCTTTTACGCCTAGTTTTTTGCATTTTTTTTTTACCATGAAAGGGTGCTGAATTTTATCAAATTCTTTTTTTTTTTAAGATTTTATTTTTACCCCCAAAGCCACCGTAGATAGTTGTCATAGCTGCACATCCTTCTAGTTGCTGTATGTGAGATGCGGCCTCAGCATGGCCGGAGAAGCGGTGCATCAGTGCGCACCCGGGATCCGAACCCGCCAGCAGAGGAGCGCGCGCACTTAACCGCTAAGCCATGGGGCCGGCCCTATCAAATTCTTTTTCTGCATCTATTAGGACAACATGGTAATTGTGGTAATTTTGTCCTTTATGAACATGGTACAGTTGATTCTCATTATTCATGATTCTGTATTTGTGAATTTGCCAATTTGTAAAATTTATTTGTAATCCCCAAATCAATACTCGCAGCACTTTTATGATCATTCATGGACATGTGCAGACCAGTGAAAATTTTGCGCTCCCCGATGTGCATGTTCTCAGCTGAGGTCGAACAAGGCAATGCTCTGCCTTCTTGTTTCAGCTCTCTTACAGATACGACCAGAGGATGGAGAAGGCAGGGAGCAGGGCAGTGTAGTGCAAGAAGCTCTGGGGCCAGCTGCATGGGTTTGAATCCCAAGTCTGTCACCTGTTAGTGGGGAGGCCTCAGGCAAGTCACTTAATACTTCTGAACCTCATTTTCTCTTTTTTAAAATAAAGAAAACAGATCTACCAGGATAAATTTTCTTTAGGATTTAAGATTATAATCTTTGAGATATATATATATATGTATAAATACACAAACACACACACAGACACATTCCCCCTAGGAGCAATGGCTCTGTATTCACTAATTCAGTATTCATGGTGACTTTATAGCATATAACCACTGTGAATAATGAGAATTATTTGCATATTACATTGATTTTTGGATGTTAAACCAACCTTGCATTCCTGGGATAAATCTCACTTGGTCATGGTGTACAATCCTTTTTATATGTTGCTGGATTCAGTTTGCTAGTATTTTGTTGATGACTTTTGTGTCTATACTCATAATAGATATTGGTCTGTGGTTTTTTTGTGTATCTTTGTCTGGTTTTGTATCAGGGTAATACTGGCCTCATAAGATGAGTTGGGAAGTGTTGTTCTCTCTTCTATTTTTGGGGAGAGTTTGCAAAGTGCTAATTCTTTAAATGTTCGGTAGAATACAGCAGTGAAGCCATCTGGGCCTGGAATTTTCTTTGTTGGATGTTTTAAAATCACTAATTCAATCTTTTTCTTTGTTATTGCCAGTTGCCTTTTTAACTTGCTTTTATTTTATTATTATTTTTTTCCCTATGTGTTTGTTTATTGTTGTTATTATCTACTACTTAATGAAGGAAATCATACGGTATTTGACCTTCTCCCTCTGACTTATTTCACTTTGCATTA